ATTCCCTTTGGTACAAACTTTTGGGGGGATGGCCTTGTCCCCCTTCTGCATCTTCTCCTGCATATGAAGCGACAATTTCAATACCAGCATTTGATCTCATTCATGACTTCTTATCACACTGAGTGAAGCAAAATGCTTTGTGTTGGCTCTCTTTTCCAAAGAAATGTGTCACCCTAAATTAAAAACAATTTGTGTTAAAAAAATTTTATGACTGCAAGATTATTCACTAAAAATTCTGGGTATTGCAATAGTTTAATTGTTGTAATGTTTTCAGTGAGACAGAATAGTCAAGCTTAATGACAGTGGTTTTTTTAAGTAGAGTACAGGTTTTAGCTGAATGGATAAAATGACTTCAAAGTGCTTTTCCTCTGCATTTACTTTAAGTAGACTACCAGATTTGCTAATGTGCATCTGGAACCTTATGAGTTACTAGGGCTAAGCAAGTGCTTCATTAAATGATTGAGCAGGAAGAAGGCTGCAAGATGCTGAGCAAATTCTGACAAAATCCTAAATATGATCCTCTCCTTTTGAAGTCAGGGAGAGTAAATGAGCATTGAGTATTCCTGGGAAACACAGACTTTAAAACCATAGAAATAGATGCCCATGAATGCATTCCAGTTTTCTACTGAGATGCAGACTATAACCTTGGACCTATTTTCATCAGTAATTAGATGGAAGATTTCATGAGAGAATTTCACCATTTGGGGGATGGGGATGTGTTTGCTTTGTTCTTTATCACTGAAAAACGCACATAACATTGATGCAGGCAGTATCACCAGTTTAAGGGTATTCCGTCCGTGTTAGTTTCAAATACCCTGGAAACCATGCACAGTGAGACCACACTTAGTACAACGGTGGAAGGGGGTATTGGTTCACCCAGGAACAAAAGCTTCTGAAGATGTTTTCTGACTGTCTTAAAAAACTTTTAATGATCCTTATTCAAAGATGGACTTCATCCCAGAAGGATCCTTCCATAAAATTATGGGGCCACTCAAAAAACAACAAAAAAACCCCATAAAATAGAGGAAGGTTGTTATTAAAAAAAAAAAAATTATTTGTAACCATAAAAATAGCAGTTCATTCTAGCAGTGATGTATTTTTCCATCTGAATATGTCAGTAGCATACACAGAGATGTGCATAAATAATCTTTATGATTCTGTAAATTAATTTTGTTGTCATACTCTTTCACAGTTACGAGCTTGGGCTTATGTTTGTATCAAAGGAGTTGTTATGCTGATTGCTTAAAAAGAAAAAGCACTCATGTTGTTCAAACTTGTATGCTTTCTTCCCATTTGATTGTGAAGACTTTTGTCCGTTTTTAAGTTTTTATGAACTGTATGCCTTGTAGCTTGTAAATATCTGAAGAGAAAGTCTCTTCTAAGATTTCAGATTAAAAGTGCGAGTCCAAAAGACTTTCAGAAACCATGCTGTGTGTCTGCTCCAAGATTAATAAGAGAGAAAATTAGTTTTTTTTTTTTAAATTTAAAAAAAAAAAATCTCCCCTAAGATTATAGTGGAAGCTACTCTAACCATATAATATTGAACTTGCAAATTGTTCAGTTTTGGTTTTGTTTTTTAAAATAATATAGGTCCCAGGGATGAAGTTCATATACTAGATTATTTTTTTTTAAGATGGAAGACCAAAGTAGAGGTAGATCCTTTTACTAACAAACCAAGTGAGTTTGGCTCCATCTGTTGCTCCCAGATTTCACAGCTCTCCAGGATTCTCGCTTTAGCCTTTTTGACTTCGGTGACACATAGTTTGTTAAGCAACTTGATCTGCTTTTGATCTCTCCTGGCTGTCAGCAACATCCCTTGATGCAGTCATGCCAAGCAATGACTTCTGTTCCTATGTCATTCCACAAAAGAAACTTTAGCACTTGCCACATGACTTAAATCAACTCACCATGTAAAGAAAATTGGGCATCCAGGGTCACAAGAGCAGTGCATGACTCTCACTGATTAGGACCTGTGTTGTGTATCAGTATGTTTTTCTAGACACCTCAGAATGCTTAGGTGGGGCAGAAGATGTGAAAAATGTGTACTGAATCAATATTTTAATCCTCTCTGCTCTGACACTTTCTGGAGGTAAAATTGTGGTTTAGGAAAATATTGAATTTGTGGCCCATGAAAACTTCAAGACATGTATTTGGTTTAGGAAAGAACTAGTACACTAGAATGGCAGTGAGAGTTACAGTATTTATGAAGCATTTATGGCAAGTTAAAACTGTTTAGAAGCTTTTCTTTGGCTACACATTAACATTTTAGCTTTACAATAAGTTTATTCTTGCAAATCAAAAACTAATTCATCAGTTGTCACTTATTGCAAAACTTTTAGCGAAGCTCAGCTAAAAGGGAATTAGAAACTATATCAGGCAGGAAATAAATCTGACTACTAGAATTTTGAAGAGATGACTAATACTGTATAATGCGGACTGCTATAAAATTGAGTTGAAGTCAGCATTTGTTTATATGTCATAATGTTTCATATTTAATATTTTTGATTGAAAACTGATTACAAGTAATAATTCTGATAATTAAATATTATTTTTGTAGTTATGCTTTCTTTTCTTCCTGTGAGTGATTATGACTCATTGAAAAGTCTCCATCAACAAGAAGCTAGGCTGTGTGGCCCAGTACATCTCTCTGATTTGGAATAAATGTGACTGAGAATGTTTATAAAGTGTTAAGCATTTGCAGAACGTTTTGTATTTTAAAAAACATTTTCCAAGAAAAGCCTCACAGTAAGTTGGGAAAATACATGTTCCCTATTTTTCTGTGCTTCTTACAGTTACCTGAAATTATCTATTCAACTTGGATCTGCTAGTTGTAGAGCTGGTATGCGCTCTCAGGTTTAATACCTGCTGTGTAAATCAGAGCATTGGAAGTACCATATTGTGCAATAGAAAGACTTTTATTTGTATTTGGGGTAGTCTCAATGTGGGACAGAGAGAGATGGGATAGTTGTAGGCATGTTATGCTTTGACCCTTTATATTTATTTCTCACATCGTTATCTCATAACTATTTAGCTTTTGACAAATCGTTCCTCTTGCCTCAGTAATGGTTACCCCTAAAACCTAGAAAGAGGCCCCAACCCAAAAACTGCAGTTGAGCTGTAGTTTGAGGTGGAATTTTCCTCTTCGTGGCCAACTCTGTGTCTGGGGTGCATGGATTACTTTGCAAAATTAGATTGCATCCACTGTTAGTTCTTTCATAGTTAATAGTAATGTTTGTAG